CTAAAACCCCCAGGTGGCGCCGGCGCATCGCTTGCATTCGGTCTCCACGACGGATAAACAACCGTTCGCCTCATCTTCTCTCCATCCGCCGGCGTGTCCCCCCAGGTGGCGCCGCCGCATGCGTCTCGCGCATGGCAACAACCCGTTTCCCATCTCTTCTTGGTGTTCGCCAGTGACTTTGGTCTTCTCGAAGCGGATGGGGATGAGCGGACGCAAGACGCTGGACTTGGGATCTGCGGACGCCTGAGTATGTAGCGCCAGAGATCATCTTTGAACAAGGGCCATCGACCACTCCGTCGACTACTGGTCGCCTGGGCATACTCATGTTTTGAACTGCTCACTGGGAACGTAAGCATGACAAGAGGGAGGAGGAGTGAGGGAGGAGGAGGAGGAGGAGGAGCGAGGAGGGGAGGAAGGTCATACTGAACAAGGGCCACGACCGTTCTGTAGACTACTCGCGGTCGCTGCGCAGTACTCATGTTTGAATCTGCTCACCGGAAACGTAAAGCCATGGACAGGAGGTGCAGGGAAGGTATGCGGAGGAGAGTGAGGACGGAGAGGAACGGATGAGGAGAGGCGGAGCGGGAGGTTCATGACTGAACAAGGGCACTACCAAGCTCTGTGGATACTGCGGTCGGCTGGGATCACTCATGTTCACGAACGTAGTTATTGTTTGGTTCGTTGTTCTTCTTCTTGTTCTTTTATTCCTCTCTGCCTCTTCCTTCCCCTTCTTTGTTCTTTCGCCTTCTTTATCATTTTTCGCACCTCGCCCTCGTGTCTTCTCCTCTGTCTCACAGCCCTCCTTGTTCTTTTTCTTTTCTCCCTTCTCTCATCGCTTTCTCGTTTCCCTCTTTCTCTTTCTCTCTATCTCGATCACTTCTCTCTGCTCCCTGCTCACTCATTATCCCCTCTCTCTATCTCTCTCCTTACTCTCACGGCTCCCCTCCCCCCTCTCTCTTCCTTACACTGCACGGCTTCTCCCCTCTTCTCTCTCTCCTTACTCTCACGCGCTTTCTCCCACTCTCTCTCGTCCTCCTTACTCTCACGGCTTCTCCCTACCCTCTCTCTCTCCTTACTTTCACGCGCCTTCTCCCACTCTTCTCTCTCTCCTACAACTCTCTACGCTTCTCCCACTCTCTGCTCTCTTACTCTCACGGCTCTCTTTCCCCTCTTCTCTCCTTTACTCCTCACGGCTTCTCCCCCCTCTCTGCTCTCTCCTTACTCTCACGGCTTCTCGCTTGCCTGGCCAGGCCTCCCTTCCCAGGTGGCGCGTGATCCATGAAGACTTACACATCATCTCTGAAGGACTCGACATGATCGGACGTTTCCGAAGAAGATCACGCGTCACCGCGCACACCTCATCAAGAAGCTGCTGCAGGGAGAGAGAACCCCGCGTTAGAAACGACTCGGCACCAGAAGGAACGGCTGGTCAAACGACATCGACGACACAAGTACGTCCATGCGACGTCGCTGCCGTTTATGTGCAGTATTAGTTGATATTTTGTACAAGTACGTCCATGCAGCAGTTCGCTGCCAGTAGTGCAAGTATCAGTGACATTGAGGTACAGAGTACACTCCATGGAGAGGTCGCGTTGCAGTAGTGCAGTTGATTAGTGTATTAGTGAATTAGTACTAAGTACGTCCGTGTATGGCGTCGCTGCCAGTAGATGCAGCTAGTGCAGTATTAGTTGATTATTTAGTGATATTCAGTACAAGTAGCGTCGCATCGCGAGTCATTGCATATAGATGCCAGTAATTACTGACACCTCAGCACTTCACTCTTTCTCTCTCTTATCTCTCTCTCGCTCTCTTCGGCCTGTTAACGCTACTACCCACCTCTCTCTTCTCTCCCGCTTCTCTCTCTTTCTCTCCTCTCCTCTGCTCACGTTTCTCTTTTCTCCCGATTTTCCATGGGCTGGACGGATGTACTCCACAGCTCCCTCTCTTCTCTCCACTCACCAGGTGGTTTCGAGGGATTCCGACTGGGACTGGGCCTCAACAGAGCGCACCCTCGTGTCCTCCGATCTGCCTACAGTCAAGTCGGCCGACCGACATGTCGAACTTTGACAGCTTAGGTCCGCGACACGTCGCATTTCCCGCTCGCCCCACCCGGCCACGACTCCTTCAGGCTGCGATCACCGACAGGCCCGGTATCCTACGAGGGCGCCGACGGCGCTGCGCCCCGACCACGGAGTTCCATCAACGACGGTCCGCCTCCCACGCGCCATGGAGACGCTCCGAGGACTTCTGATGGAGGGCGGCCACCTGGCATTGGATACCGGTCCTTGCTCGGGATCGCCAAGCTCCGTAGACAGGGCGCATCGGCACCGTATTAGGCGCGGGTTGGGTAGCTCGACGCTGCTAGAGGGCCCGCCCCGTTGACGTCTCCTCCCGCACGTAGGAACAATGGCTATGAAGGCTATGTTCTAGAGGCGGCGCCACAATCACAGGAGGCTGCGGTCGCTGAGTATGTCGCGTTCGCGCCGCGTCGTGCCGTGGAGAGCGATGCGTCGCGGCCCTGTCCGTCGTGGCACGACGTTGGCGTGCGCCACCCCGCCGTGCGCGAACCGGGCCGCATGCCGCGTCCCGAGTGCGGGGGGGGGCGCCCCCGGCGTGGGTTGTCTAGTGGTCGCCGAGTTCGGTGGGAGCTCCCGGCCAGCAAGGCGTGCGGGTCCGTCCGTCGTGTGGAGACGCTTGCATCCGCGCCCGTCGTTCGTGGAGACGTGGCGTCGCGGCCCGTCGTCGTTTGGAGACGTGCGTTGCCGCCCGTCGTTGCGCTTGTTGAGAGGGTTCGTTGCCGTCGGGGCCCGTCGTCGTGGAGACGTGCATCGCTGGTCCGGGCTCCGTCGTCGCTGGAGGGATGATCGGCTGTCGCGAGTCCACTGTGTTTCTTAGAAAAAATCCTGCTAAATTCATCTACGCCGCATCGGGTGTATCGTCAATGGGAGATTTGAGACAGCAAGTTGAACAGCTGATGGCGGCGTATATTTTTGTACACGGGCGTGGTTCATGAACGTTTTAGTGTCAACGCCGCCTCGTGCGTTGTGTTCTCGTAAAACTGGGTCTGCCTGACATCACCACGGTCGGCGGCACCAGCTCGCGGTGTGTGGATCCAGGGACTGTGAACACCACTGTTGACGGTTCACAGTGTGTGATCATGCTGCAGGGCGATAGTGACGCGCATCTGCTGGGAGATACTGAAGCAGGATGTGCGATGTGGCACAGCAGTGCTGAGCGGTCAGTGGGTTGCTGCGATGGCACTGTGGCTGCAGGTGACCTGTGCTGCTGCTGTTGTCTCGCTGTAGCTGCTGCTTGGCTGCCTGCTGCTGCATGCTGGCTGCTGCTAGCTGTCACTGCTGCCTGCTTTCACTGCTGCTGCTTGCCTGCTGCGTGGAACCACGGCTGTATACTCACAGTAATAGATGCCGGCATGTACACCGCGACGTTTTTCAGCGCGCGCATAGATGCATATTTCTGTGCGTCGCCGTTGCGCGTGTCGGGTGCCTGCATTCTGTGATGATTCTTCCACGCCTCCACTGTGTGTGTATTCAGGTTTGTTGATTTGGTATTCCGCGTCTTTGGTGTGACGTT